TTAAATTATATTTATTCGAAATTAAAATTCGAAAAGCTTTAGAATTAAAGATCTTATATTGAATTGAAATAACTCTACCCCTTATGCGAGGGCCCTTTCATGGCATAAAAGGAGGGCACGGCCGTTATTTGTCTGGGAACATAACCCCAAGACCCCACACGACCCCCACATGATTTTATAAAAGGGATTTCACAAAAGGGGATTTCTTGGGTTCCTCATCCCCGCCTCCCATCCCGATCTTGCAACCGTAGAACGTCTCGTTGCCATTCCGCATGGCCTGCGACCTCGCATACAACTCTGACCACCAGGTTCTGATCTGCACACAGTGCCAGACGTGCATCGCTCCAGGGGCCCGAAGTATCGCGCAACACCTCCGAGCCGAACCCCACCGCCTGTCAGGTGATCTTTTGAAAGCTCAACTGAGCTACGCTCAATCGTTAAGTCTGAAGACGAAGCGTCAATTGCGAGAAGACAAACCTGCGCGTAGGGCTGCGCAGTTAGAGCATCTCAGAGTCTTCCACGGCTTTCAGTGTTTATCATGCGATCCATCCTTTTTAACCACTCACCTCCCACGAATGCGGGATCACATGGTGACTCATGGCCGGAAAGCGAGCGAGCACAAAGCGACCCCGCTATGGCAGGCATGCTTACTCCAAACGTACTTTACTGCACCGAGGTATGTTGATTACTTTGTGGTTGTTGCAAATCCTGGGCCCCATGGTGGAAATGGCGATGTGATCCCTTTAACCCGGTCGGAGAAGGATTCCATTGATCAGATTGAGCAAGATGCGTTGAATGTCAAAAAGGATCTCTTCAAGGCAGCTGGCGTCGTTCGGGACATTAAGGAATCTCGCTCCGAGAGGGTACCGTGGTTGCACGACGTCACCAAGTTCCCTTTTCACTTAGTTCATTTAAAAGACGAGGAGATTTGGGCTTCGTATAAGCTCCCATCGAAGAAGGAATTGGATGGAGATTACCTTGAAGCGGATGATCCTCAACTTGTTCGCATCCTCCATGCCGCCGAAGCTATGATGCGAGATGCCTATCAATTGTGCTCTGATACATCCCCCGATCGTAAGATGACTCAGCAGCGAGCTAACATCCTCAATGAATTTTATTCCGGAGCGAGTGGCAAGGCGGATGGGTTCCGATATCACAAGAATGCTTCGACGTTGGTCAAATACTTCCTGATCGGGAAACAACTCTTGGTATATTATTATCGAGTGGTGTATTCGGAGGATGGCTTTTTCACCGCCACGGAATCGGATCAATCATTACCACGTGATATTATCGAACCGACCTCAACCCAAATTCGTGCGATGGATGCTATCATGGAAGCCTTGAATATGGAAGATCCCGAAGAATCTGAATTAGCTTTGAAGCATGCTATTCGACGATTATATCTAGCCTTGATTTGTCACTCGATTGGAAGTGCACCGTTTAAATCACCGGTCTTGAGTTTTTGTGCTATGAAGAGTCGCATGATTTATGGGCGGGGATTGTGGGAAGAGCCAGGAAATTTTAATAGTTACCTGTCGGCTCTCACGTGGACGGCGCAACTGATCCTCTTTGGTTTTGTCTGTTTTCAAGAGCAAGAGGACGAAGATCAAATTCCCATTCTCCTCACCACGCTCTGCAAGAAGTTCTTTCAACAATTAGCCGAGACCCCCTTCGGTTACATTCTTCAGTGGCGTTTATATTTATTCAAGGTGAGTAAGGCTTCCATTGCTAAACACCAAGCTCGATGGTCTTTGGATCGACAGATTGTGGGGTATCGCGGGGTAGAAATATCCATGGAACAGATTTCGAACGTGGTGCTTTCGGAATTTCAACAAGCTCACTCTCTCCTGTACGATGAATTGTTATTTGGCATGCAAGATTTAATTTCGATGGTTTCGTGGCGGATGAAGGATGATCTGGATTCCGAGGATTTTGGGGATTCTTGGCTCTCCCACTCACACAATTCGGAATTTTTAGAAGGGGCAGATCTGAGGCTTTTTCGATACATCAAGACGAACACTAAATTGCACACCACTTTCTTCAAGGTTGATCAAGAGGGAGGGTTAATCTTGTGTTCGAAAGCTATGAAGATATATGAAGTGCAAGCTCAGGAATTCTTAAAGCGACTCTTGATCCTCTGTCACATTGCTCCTGGTCCACCTCTGCGAGAGCCCGAATTGCTTTCTATCACGTGGCGGAATATGGAACGACAGCGACATATTTATATTTGGGAAAAGTTGGTGATGATCTATACCCAATATCACAAAGGACAACAACAATCTGGTGCATACAAGAATAATATTCGATTTCTCCCGAAAGCTATTGGGAATTTATTACTTACTTATATTGCATATGTTATTCCCCTTCGACAAATCTTTCTTCGACAAGAAAATCCGACCGCTTTGATATCCCCGTACCTCTGGTCCAATCTTCAAGGGACTGTGTGGGTAGATGGAGTTATTTCGACTTGCTTACGGAAAGCATGTAAACGTGCTCAGGTTTCGATACTACACACTTCCAATTGGCGACAATTTGCTGCTTCCATCACGAAAGAGAAGTTTACTACGAGAGAACAAGCCAACTTTGATCTGGACCATACTCCTGGTGAATTTGTTGAAGATGAATCCGATTTGAGGGCGTTGGCCGAATTTAGCAATCACAGCTTTCAAACCTTCAATGTAGCTTACGCTGGAACGACCAATCTCACCATGAATACTATGTTGCATCGAGGCTTTCGGGCTTCGGCTAGTTGGCATTCCTTCTTTCGATTCGATTTCGTTCTGCAAGGGAAGCGAGCCTCGAGTCCATCGGATGCTCTAGTGTTGCGAGCCGCGAAACGAAGTCGATTTCGTCAGAGGCAAGGGTACTCGGAAGAGGATTTACTTCAAGTGGCTCAAAGATTATTCCCTTCTGTCACTTTTCAATTTCGTCAACCTGGTCAACGTCGTGGGGTGTTGACTACTTTTGGAACTACCTTTCACGAACAAGTCATCTTGATCTTGGGAACCGGCTCCGGCAAGACCTTAATTCCTATGCTCAGCGCTAGCCTTGCGGACGCTAGCACCACCATCATGATCATTCCTATGGTGGCCTTGCGGATTGACATGATCAAACGTTTTAATGCAGTTGGGATTCCCTCGGTCGTGTGGTCGGTGGAGTGTCGGGAAACCCCTCCATTGGTGATCGTATCGGCTGAAGCGGTTTGCAACGATAGCTTTTTGGAATACGCTCAAGGGCTAGTCTTTCGACAGAAATTGGATCGCATCATCATGGATGAGTGTCACCTTACCATTACTACGAGTGAGTATCGCTCTTGCATGACGCAAGTTGGGTGGTTCATTCGACAAATTCGTACTCAATCCATTTGGCTATCTGCCACCTTGCCTCCGGTGATGGAAGAATTATTCATCGAACAGAACAAATTGGTTTGCCCTCAAATCATTCGAGAGTCGACCAATCGATCTAACCTTCAATATCTTGTTAGTTATGGAGATGGAGTTGATTCTTTGATGGAGAAAGCGAGAGAGTTAATTGAAGTGTGTTGGCCCGATCCTAATATCTTTGATCAAAGTTGTGATAAGATTATTATCTACTGTCGCACTCGTGATGTTGCTGGCGCGGTAGCAGAATTGATGAATTGTCCTCTGTACACATCAGAATCCGGGACGGTTCGCGAGAAGGGGGAGATCATTCAACGGTGGCTCTCCAATCCTCAGCAACCCGTGATCGCTGCTACGTCCGCTCTCGGGATTGGATTTGATTACCCTCACATTCGATGGGTCATTCACCTCGATGCTCCAGAGCGGGTGACGGCTTTCTCTCAAGAATCCGGTCGGGCGGGACGCGATGGGAGGAAAGCTTCCTCCATCATCTTGTTAAATTCGACTTGGAGACCTCAACGTGATACCTTTCTTCCACCCGATCAAGCTACCATGCAACTCTACCTCACTCAACAATATTGCTCACGTGGCGTCCTCAGTCAATTCCTCGATCGGCCTTCGGATTGGCGTTGGTGCATGTCAAGTGATGAGGTCTGTCAAGTGTGTAGGGAACCTCATGAGGAACCTCGCCCCCCTCATTTGATATACACTTTAAATCCATCTACTATAGAAATTGAATCCACTGGCCCTCGAGAGATTCACACTCAAGATTTTCGACAGGATCAAATCCTCGATCGATACGAGCAGGATCTCCTAACCTTTCAGGATTCTTGTCTCTACTGTCGAATTCACCATCGTCGCTTCGATCACCTCTCTTCACAATGCTCTCGAAGATTTGATTGGATTAATGCTAAGGGGGAAGCTCTACAAGCGTGCCAATTTGACGAGAGAGATTGGATGCCACGATACATCGTGTGTTGGAATTGTTATCAACCACAAGATATCTGTCGAGTGGCCGATCCTGATCACGAAGAGAGCGAGTGTCGATTTCCGAACATGGTGATTCCCATTTGCGTGGCGGCATATAAGAGGGTGGGGGGGGGTGGCATGGCTCGAGAGGCATTTTGAACGAACGTGGGAAGATCTTCTTGCGTATATGATTTGGCTTGGGGAGAGGACTGATTTGGAGGGGAATGATGGGTTTACGGGAATAAGGTTGCAGCTCTTATATTAAGGGAATTAGAATAGAGTAATTGATAATAATAAGATAAGAATAAAATAATGAATAAAGGGTTCTAGTAATAAAGTAAGAGATCAGGGTTAAAGTTGGAAGAGATTTTTAAAATGATTAAGAACCGCTACGTATTTTAAAAAGGGTGAGGGTAAGGGTAAGGGTAAGGGTTAGGGTAAGAGATAATAAGAAAGGAATTAGGGTTAATGAAATATTTAAAGAATGAAATAAGAGAATATATAAAAGTAAGATTTAAAATTAAAGAATAATATTAAACAAGATAATACCCCGCCTTTTCTCGCCTAGGCCCTCTCGCTTTCAGCCCCCCATTCTTCCCCCCCCCATCGGGTTTACTCGACATTCCTCCTTTTCCCCCGCCCAGTCCCCACTTAACGTGACACTTCCCTCTCATTGGGGTACGCCTCAGCTTCTTCTTCCTTCTTCACTTCGCCGCCTCCCTTCGGCTTTGCCCTCCTCCCTCTTGCCTTGCCCCTCTCCCCTGCGTTCGCGTCTTTCCTTCCCGCTTCTGCCTCTTCTTCGGGTTCTCCCTTGGCCTTCGGGCTTTCTTCCCGCCTTCCCCTTCTTCCTTTGTTCCCGGCTTCGGGTTCCCCGTCTCTCCTCTCGCCTCTTCCTTTCCTCCTTGCCTTCCCCGCGGCTTGCCCCCTCCCTTTCCTCCCCCCGCCCCCGCTTGCCCGCTCCCTCTCCTCTCCCCCTCCCTTCCCGCTCTCCGCTCTTCCCTCTTGCTTTCCCTCCCTCCCCCGTCTCTTTCCCGCCTGCTCTTCTTCCCGGGTTCGGGTTCTTCCTTTTTCGGGTTCGCCTTCCCTTCCCCCGTCCTCCCCGCCTGTCTCCCTCTCCTCCCTCCTCCCCGTCGGCTTTCCTTGCCCCCCGCCCTCCGCTTTCTTCTTTCCTCTCCCTCTCCCGCTTTTCTCCCCCGCTTCCGCTTCCGCCTTTTCTTTCCTCCCCGCTTTCTTCCTTCTCCTCCTCCCTCCCTTTTCTCCCGCCCGCCTCCCTCCTCCCCGTCCGGTTTCGGGTTTCCTCTCCCCCTCCCCTTTCTTCCTGCCTCCTCCGCTTCCCCTTCTTCCTCTCCCCTCCCCGGGCCTTCTCCCCCCCGCGCCCCCCCCCCGCTTCGCCGCCCCTCCTCCTCTTCCTCCTCCCCCCCGCTCCCCGCTCTTGCTTTCCCCCCCCCCTCCCCCCGCCCCCCCCCTTCCCTTCCCTTCCTTCGCCTCCTCCTCCTCGCTTTTTCCCCCTGCCTCCCCTTTCCCCGCTCCTTCCTTCCCGGCTTCGGGTTCTTCCTTTTCGGGTTGGCCTTCTCCCTTTTTGCCCCGCTTCGTCTTCGCCCTCTCTACTCTCCCCTCTTCTTTTCCTGCTTGGCGCCCCCGTCTTCCCCCTCCCCTCCGCCCCGCTTGCCCCCTCCTCTCCTCTCTCGCCCCTGCCCCTTTCCCCCCTTCCCCCTCTCCTCTCTTCGCTCTTCCTTTCGCTCCCTCCCCTCCCCCTCGCTCTTTTCCCCCTCCTCTTCTTCCTTGCCCTCCCCTGCCCTCCTGCCCCTTCCCGCCCTTCCCTTCCTTCCCTCCTCCTCCGCTTTTTTCTCGTGCCCTTCCCTTCCCGCCGCTCCTTCCCGCTTCGGCTTCTTCCTTTCTTCTCCGCTTCCTCTCCGCCCTCTGGGGTTTCTCCCCTCTTCCTTTCCTCCTTGCCCCCCGGGTCTTCCCCGCTCCCTTTCCTCTTGCCCCTTTCCCTTTCCCCCCCCCCCGCTTGCCCCCTCCCTCTCCTCTCCCCTCTGCTCTCCCTCCCGCTCTCCGCTCTTCGCTCTTGCTTTCCCTCCCTGCCATTCCCCCGGCTCTTTCGCCCCCGCTCTTCTTCCCCGGTTCGGGTTCTTTCTTTCTCCCGTGCTTCGGGTTCTTCCTTTCTTGCCGGGTTGGGTTTCTTCCTGCCTGCCGGTTCGCGTTCTTCCTGCCCTTCCCGGCTTCCGTTCTTCCTGCTTCCCGAGGTTATAGGGGGTTCCTTCCCATTATTCCGCTTCATACCTTTTCCCGCTACCCTGTGCCTCTTTACGGCTTTCCCCTCCCCCCCGGCTTTACCCTTCACCCCCCTTCCTTCTCCCTTGATCCTCCCCATCCCCCTCCCTCCCTCGGGTTTGCTTTCCCCTCAGACTGCTCCTTTTGCTCCTCCGCCCCCGTCCCCTTTTTTTTCCGTTCTCCTCCGCATTTCGCCCTCCTCCCTGTCTCCCTGCTCCTCCTTGCCTCGGCCTCCTCCCTCCTCCTCCCACCCCTGCACGCCTCCGCCTTCCTCCTCGTTCTACGCTTTGTTCGCCTCTCCCTCCGCCTCCCCCAGCCCTACCATCCATTTTCCGCTCTCTCTCACCCCCCAACGAGGCGGCAGGAAACGCGCGCCGCCTCACCTTTCTTTTCTTCTTTTTTTCTTCTTTCTTTCCTTCCTACAAACCTTCTTCCCTATTCATACTTCTTATTCTTGTTCCTTCTTTTTCTTAATTATTATTCATTCCTTCTTCCATTCTTATCCTACTCCATACATTTTCTTGCCACCTCTTTCTAATTTTCTTATAACTCTAAAAATTTGTACTTTTCTTATTAGCAATATGATAATTCTCTTTAAGACAAGCCCTATTTTTTTTTATTTTTGTTTTTATTCAGTTAATATTATATATTCTTTTTTTATTTTTAAATCCTTAAATATTCAATTTATTCTTTAAAAACTTATAATTCTTAAAATCTTAATAACCCTAACCCTTTAATTCAGTAATACTCTAATCCTTAATTCATGCATAACTCTAACCTTCAATTTCATTAAAACCCTAACCCTTCATAACTTAATAACCCGAATCCACTTTAATAGAAATAACCCTAACCTTTTAATAATATCTTTTTCTAAATATCCTTTTTAATTTCATTTATTTAAATCAATATCTAATATCTTATATCTTTATTTTATATTCATATTTTATATTATATTTATTTTTCAATCTTTTTTTTTTAAATTTAAATTTTCAATATTAAATTTATCTTTTAATACCCTTTTTTTCAATTATTAAATTAATATTTTATAACCCCATATTTCTTATATTAATCTTATAATAAATTAATAATCCTAATCCTTTAATTATCTTCTTTAATTTAATTTCACTATAAAAATCTTATTATTATTTTAATTAATTTAATTTCTTTAATTTTCATTTATTTCATTTTTATTTCAATTAATAATATTATTTTAAAATATCTATTTTTATTTTATTTATCTAAATTAATATCTAATATATTATATTTTTTAATTTTTTAAATTTTCATTTTCTATATATTATATTTATTTTTCAATCTTTTCTTATTTTATTTTTTAATACTTTTTCTCCAATCATTAAAATAATATTTTATATTATATATTTCTAATACTAATCGTTTCAAAAATTTATAATTCCAACCCTAAAAATTAATAACCCTAATCCTTTAATTAATTATCTTTTTAAATTTTATTCATTTTTAAAAATATATTATTATTATTCTAATTAATTTAATTTAATTTTTTTTTTCTTTTTTATTTTTTTTTTAAATCAATATCTTTTATCTTTTTTATTATTAATATTATTATTTTCTTCTAAATCTTTTTTTTTTCTCTTTTTTTTATAATTCCCTTTTTATTTTATATTAATAATTTTAATCTTATTATTCATTAATAAATTTTATTTTTATATTAAACCCTAAACCTTACTTTTATTATTTATTCTTCTTCTTTATAAAATTTTATTTATTATTATAATTAATAAATCTTTTATTAAATAAAATTCTTAATCTTAATCTTTTTATAAAATCTTTATATTTATATTAAATAATAAATCTTATTTCTTTTTTCAATTAAATCCTACTTTTATTATTTATTATATTTATACATTCTTTTATTACTTTTTAATTTTAATTCTAACCCTAAAAATTAATAACCCTAACCCTTTAATAATATCATTCTTTAAATATACTTTTTTATTTATTTAAATCAATATTTAATATCTTATATCTTTAATTTATTTTTATATTATATTTATCTTTCAATCTTTTTCTTTTTTTATTAAATTTATTTTTCAATCCTCTTTTAATTCAATTATTAAATTAATATTCTATATTATATACTTTTAACCCTAATCCTTTAACAAATTAATAATTTTAATTCTTTAATAAATCCCTAATTCCAATTTATAACCCTAATAATATTCATAATCTTTAATTAAATACTCTAACTCATTTTATATTTTCAATTCAATATTTATTATTTCAAATCCTAATTTATTCTTCTAAATTTAATAATTTAATAATAATCCTAATTCTTAACCCAATTATTAATTTCAATTTAATTTTTTACTTTTCTTTTTTAAAATTATTTAATTCTATTAAACCCTATTTTTTTTTAATAATTTTTTTCTAAATCTATATTTCCTTATTCTATAAAATTCTTTTATTATCTTTTTAATATTATTCTTTAATTTTAAATCTTACTTTTATATATTCTCTTATTTCATTCTTTAAATATTTCATTAACCCTAATTCCTTTCTTATTATCTCTTAACCCTAACCCTTACCCTTACCCTTACCCTCACCCTTTTTAAAATACGTAGCGGTTCTTAATCATTTTAAAAATCTCTTCCAACTTTAACCCTGATCTCTTACTTTATTACTAGAACCCTTTATTCATTATTTTATTCTTATCTTATTATTATCATTACTCTATTCTAATTCCCTTAATATAAGAGCTGCAACCTTATTCCCGTAAACCCATTCATTCCCCTCCAAATCAGTCCTCTCCCCAAGCCAAATCATATACGCAAGAAGATCTTCCCACGTTCGTTCAAAATGCCTCTCGAGCCATGCCACCCCCCCCACCCTCTTATATGCCGCCACGCAAATGGGAATCACCATGTTCGGAAATCGACACTCGCTCTCTTCGTGATCAGGATCGGCCACTCGACAGATATCTTGTGGTTGATAACAATTCCAACACACGATGTATCGTGGCATCCAATCTCTCTCGTCAAATTGGCACGCTTGTAGAGCTTCCCCCTTAGCATTAATCCAATCAAATCTTCGAGAGCATTGTGAAGAGAGGTGATCGAAGCGACGATGGTGAATTCGACAGTAGAGACAAGAATCCTGAAAGGTTAGGAGATCCTGCTCGTATCGATCGAGGATTTGATCCTGTCGAAAATCTTGAGTGTGAATCTCTCGAGGGCCAGTGGATTCAATTTCTATAGTAGATGGATTTAAAGTGTATATCAAATGAGGGGGGCGAGGTTCCTCATGAGGTTCCCTACACACTTGACAGACCTCATCACTTGACATGCACCAACGCCAATCCGAAGGCCGATCGAGGAATTGACTGAGGACGCCACGTGAGCAATATTGTTGAGTGAGGTAGAGTTGCATGGTAGCTTGATCGGGTGGAAGAAAGGTATCACGTTGAGGTCTCCAAGTCGAATTTAACAAGATGATGGAGGAAGCTTTCCTCCCATCGCGTCCCGCCCGACCGGATTCTTGAGAGAAAGCCGTCACCCGCTCTGGAGCATCGAGGTGAATGACCCATCGAATGTGAGGGTAATCAAATCCAATCCCGAGAGCGGACGTAGCAGCGATCACGGGTTGCTGAGGATTGGAGAGCCACCGTTGAATGATCTCCCCCTTCTCGCGAACCGTCCCGGATTCTGATGTGTACAGAGGACAATTCATCAATTCTGCTACCGCGCCAGCAACATCACGAGTGCGACAGTAGATAATAATCTTATCACAACTTTGATCAAAGATATTAGGATCGGGCCAACACACTTCAATTAACTCTCTCGCTTTCTCCATCAAAGAATCAACTCCATCTCCATAACTAACAAGATATTGAAGGTTAGATCGATTGGTCGACTCTCGAATGATTTGAGGGCAAACCAATTTGTTCTGTTCGATGAATAATTCTTCCATCACCGGAGGCAAGGTGGCAGATAGCCAAATGGATTGAGTACGAATTTGTCGAATGAACCACCCAACTTGCGTCATGCAAGAGCGATACTCACTCGTAGTAATGGTAAGGTGACACTCATCCATGATGATGCGATCCAATTTCTGTCGAAAGACTAGCCCTTGAGCGTATTCCAAAAAGCTATCGTTGCAAACCGCTTCAGCCGATACGATCACCAATGGAGGGGTTTCCCGACACTCCACCGACCACACGACCGAGGGAATCCCAACTGCATTAAAACGTTTGATCATGTCAATCCGCAAGGCCACCATAGGAATGATCATGATGGTGGTGCTAGCGTCCGCAAGGCTAGCGCTGAGCATAGGAATTAAGGTCTTGCCGGAGCCGGTTCCCAAGATCAAGATGACTTGTTCGTGAAAGGTAGTTCCAAAAGTAGTCAACACCCCACGACGTTGACCAGGTTGACGAAATTGAAAAGTGACAGAAGGGAATAATCTTTGAGCCACTTGAAGTAAATCCTCTTCCGAGTACCCTTGCCTCTGACGAAATCGACTTCGTTTCGCGGCTCGCAACACTAGAGCATCCGATGGACTCGAGGCTCGCTTCCCTTGCAGAACGAAATCGAATCGAAAGAAGGAATGCCAACTAGCCGAAGCCCGAAAGCCTCGATGCAACATAGTATTCATGGTGAGATTGGTCGTTCCAGCGTAAGCTACATTGAAGGTTTGAAAGCTGTGATTGCTAAATTCGGCCAACGCCCTCAAATCGGATTCATCTTCAACAAATTCACCAGGAGTATGGTCCAGATCAAAGTTGGCTTGTTCTCTCGTAGTAAACTTCTCTTTCGTGATGGAAGCAGCAAATTGTCGCCAATTGGAAGTGTGTAGTATCGAAACCTGAGCACGTTTACATGCTTTCCGTAAGCAAGTCGAAATAACTCCATCTACCCACACAGTCCCTTGAAGATTGGACCAGAGGTACGGGGATATCAAAGCGGTCGGATTTTCTTGTCGAAGAAAGATTTGTCGAAGGGGAATAACATATGCAATATAAGTAAGTAATAAATTCCCAATAGCTTTCGGGAGAAATCGAATATTATTCTTGTATGCACCAGATTGTTGTTGTCCTTTGTGATATTGGGTATAGATCATCACCAACTTTTCCCAAATATAAATATGTCGCTGTCGTTCCATATTCCGCCACGTGATAGAAAGCAATTCGGGCTCTCGCAGAGGTGGACCAGGAGCAATGTGACAGAGGATCAAGAGTCGCTTTAAGAATTCCTGAGCTTGCACTTCATATATCTTCATAGCTTTCGAACACAAGATTAACCCTCCCTCTTGATCAACCTTGAAGAAAGTGGTGTGCAATTTAGTGTTCGTCTTGATGTATCGAAAAAGCCTCAGATCTGCCCCTTCTAAAAATTCCGAATTGTGTGAGTGGGAGAGCCAAGAATCCCCAAAATCCTCGGAATCCAGATCATCCTTCATCCGCCACGAAACCATCGAAATTAAATCTTGCATGCCAAATAACAATTCATCGTACAGGAGAGAGTGAGCTTGTTGAAATTCCGAAAGCACCACGTTCGAAATCTGTTCCATGGATATTTCTACCCCGCGATACCCCACAATCTGTCGATCCAAAGACCATCGAGCTTGGTGTTTAGCAATGGAAGCCTTACTCACCTTGAATAAATATAAACGCCACTGAAGAATGTAACCGAAGGGGGTCTCGGCTAATTGTTGAAAGAACTTCTTGCAGAGCGTGGTGAGGAGAATGGGAATTTGATCTTCGTCCTCTTGCTCTTGAAAACAGACAAAACCAAAGAGGATCAGTTGCGCCGTCCACGTGAGAGCCGACAGGTAACTATTAAAATTTCCTGGCTCTTCCCACAATCCCCGCCCATAAATCATGCGACTCTTCATAGCACAAAAACTCAAGACCGGTGATTTAAACGGTGCACTTCCAATCGAGTGACAAATCAAGGCTAGATATAATCGTCGAATAGCATGCTTCAAAGCTAATTCAGATTCTTCGGGATCTTCCATATTCAAGGCTTCCATGATAGCATCCATCGCACGAATTTGGGTTGAGGTCGGTTCGATAATATCACGTGGTAATGATTGATCCGATTCCGTGGCGGTGAAAAAGCCATCCTCCGAATACACCACTCGATAATAATATACCAAGAGTTGTTTCCCGATCAGGAAGTATTTGACCAACGTCGAAGCATTCTTGTGATATCGGAACCCATCCGCCTTGCCACTCGCTCCGGAATAAAATTCATTGAGGATGTTAGCTCGCTGCTGAGTCATCTTACGATCGGGGGATGTATCAGAGCACAATTGATAGGCATCTCGCATCATAGCTTCGGCGGCATGGAGGATGCGAACAAGTTGAGGATCATCCGCTTCAAGGTAATCTCCATCCAATTCCTTCTTCGATGGGAGCTTATACGAAGCCCAAATCTCCTCGTCTTTTAAATGAACTAAGTGAAAAGGGAACTTGGTGACGTCGTGCAACCACGGTACCCTCTCGGAGCGAGATTCCTTAATGTCCCGAACGACGCCAGCTGCCTTGAAGAGATCCTTTTTGACATTCAACGCATCTTGCTCAATCTGATCAATGGAATCCTTCTCCGACCGGGTTAAAGGGATCACATCGCCATTTCCACCATGGGGCCCAGGATTTGCAACAACCACAAAGTAATCAACATACCTCGGTGCAGTAAAGTACGTTTGGAGTAAGCATGCCTGCCATAGCGGGGTCGCTTTGTGCTCGCTCGCTTTCCGGCCATGAGTCACCATGTGATCCCGCATTCGTGGGAGGTGAGTGGTTAAAAAGGATGGATCGCATGATAAACACTGAAAGCCGTGGAAGACTCTGAGATGCTCTAACTGCGCAGCCCTACGCGCAGGTTTGTCTTCTCGCAATTGACGCTTCGTCTTCAGACTTAACGATTGAGCGTAGCTCAGTTGAGCTTTCAAAAGATCACCTGACAGGCGGTGGGGTTCGGCTCGGAGGTGTTGCGCGATACTTCGGGCCCCTGGAGCGATGCACGTCTGGCACTGTGTGCAGATCAGAACCTGGTGGTCAGAGTTGTATGCGAGGTCGCAGGCCATGCGGAATGGCAACGAGACGTTCTACGGTTGCAAGATCGGGATGGGAGGCGGGGATGAGGAACCCAAGAAATCCCCTTTTGTGAAATCCCTTTTATAAAATCATGTGGGGGTCGTGTGGGGTCTTGGGGTTATGTTCCCAGACAAATAACGGCCGTGCCCTCCTTTTATGCCATGAAAGGGCCCTCGCATAAGGGGTAGAGTTATTTCAATTCAATATAAGATCTTTAATTCTAAAGCTTTTCGAATTTTAATTTCGAATAAATATAATTTAATTAAATTTCTATAGATTGTTTTTTTTTTAATTTTCGAAAAGTTTTAAATTAAAACTAAAAGAAATAATAATTAATTAATGACTTTTAATACTTTTTTATTAATTACCATTCCTTTATCTTCTATAAATTATTATAGCTTAGAATTAACCTTATTAAATCTAATTTTTATTATAATCTTTATAGATTAATTAATATTGAAGATATTCGAAATCTAATTTTGTATATAAATAATTCTATTGAATCTTTATTCACTTCTTTTTTCAGATTTTTGAAAACCTCAAAATTGAAGTTAGGAAAGGTGGTGATCAATTAGAGGGTTTTTGGCTGGGTCACTATTCCCCTTAGGGTTATAGTTATTATTAGTGTTGATCACCAAAAAAGTCCGTGGAATAATAGTTAGAGTTATTTCAATTCAATATAAAATCTTCAATTCAAAAGCTTTTTAAATTCTAATTTCGAATTAATATAATTCAATTAAATCTTTATAAATTACTTTTTTTGATTTACAAAAAGTCCTAAATTGAAGCTAAAAGAGATGATAACCAATTGATAACTTTTAATACTTTTTTACTGATCATCATTCCCCTGTTTTCCATAAATTACCATAGCTTTTCAATAATCTTATCAAATTTGGTTTTTATTATAATCTTTACAGATCAATTAATACTAAAGATATTAAAAATTTAATTTTATATATAAATAATTCAATTAAATCTCTATTCATTTCTTTTTTCAGATTTTTAAAAAGTTTAAAATTGAAGGGTAGAAAAATAGTGATTAAATAATAACTTTTTGGCTGGATCACCACCCCCCTTAGGGTTATGGTCATCACTGATGCTGATCACCAAAAAAATCCGTGGAATAATAGTTAGGTCTAAATATATTACTTTTACTTTCTTATTTATATATAAATCTTCTTAATATTATTTAAAGATATTATCTTTTTTTTACCTTTAATTTCTTAGTTATAAATTATAATTCAATAAATCTTATAATTATAGAACTTCGTAATAAAATAACTTATCAATAAAATGAAATCTTATTCTTATACTTCTTAATCCTTAAATATATTTTTACTACTTAAATGTTTTTTTAATTGAAAAAAAAATTTCTTTAATTCTGAAAGGTTTAATAATAGTTCTTAAAAATTTCATATATAATTATCTTCAATTCGAATAAAACTACAAGTAAATAATATTATAATTAACAATTCTATTACTTAATTTTATTATATTTATTTCAATCTCGAATCTTATATACAAATTATAATACTATCTCAACTTTTTTCTTTTAATTAAAATGTTCTTTTAAATCATATAACAATCTTAAATCAATTTATACATATTTATAACAATCTGAATAAAGTATAAAAAACTGAAAATAAACTATTCAACTTTAAATAAAGAATTGATTCTTTATATATCTATATTATGAAATTTGAAAGAATTCTTTATAAAGTAAAAGACTAGAATTAATCTGATTTGAATAAAATTTCAACCTTTTGTAATAAATTTAATATTACTTTTAGAAATTGTTTTTCCTAATAGCTTTTATTATTTTACTTATATTCCAACTTTGTTTAAATTATATAATAATTAGTTATATATATAATAAATAAATTCTCTATATTATTTTACTTTAATAAACCTAAAGTTCTATATCTATTATAAAATCTATTTTATTTTTGAAATCATAATTTAATGAATATTAATAATCTTAATATTCTTAATATCTTTAATATTCTTTTAGACAAAGTTGATTATACCTTGATCTCATTCTATATTAAAATATCTAAGTTTTCCTTTATTAAAAGAACTTAATTATGTAAGAAAAACAAGTACGTTTAATATGAAAATGCTTTCTATTAAATATAATTCTGTTTGCTTGATTTATATTAAGGCACTTGAAATTGAAAAGAATTTATCCTAATTGTTACACTTGTTCCTATTAACTTCTACAATAATAACAATAATAATAAGGATCTAGATAAGATAATTAACAATTAATATTTTAAAGATTGCTTAAAAGAGGTACAAGCTTTTATTAATATTTTTTATTTAGTAGTAATATATTTAGTTTCTTAAGGTATTTTATAAAAAATTAATAAAGAAAATAATAATAGTAATAATAATGAAAAAGAGTTTCATTAATTATGTTTTATATTTAAGTTATTTGTTTAAAGTGAGTTTAAGGTGAATTCTTTAGAAGGGGGGGGTAATGTTATAGTATATATATAATTATATTCAATCAAACTAGTACAATACTAAGTTCCGAGCTGATCGCATATATAGCTCTATAGTATACTCTCTTTAGTTCTATAGCTTTTAATTCTAAGGTTGATTTTTAAATGTTTATTAGGTTCGTCACAACTCTTATAGTTCTTCTACAATAAAGTATTATACTTAGTAATATAATATACTCGATATTCAATCACATTAGTAGTTTAATATTTGTGTTATAATTTTTAATAATATTTTTAATCAAAACATAAAAAGAATCGTAAAAAATTAATATATTATAATATATACAAAGACTTTTCATTAATTTTTTTAAATAATAAAAATTCTATATTTATATTTATAAATATATTATCATCGGCTTAAACTAGATTTAAAGCCTCAAAGTTATATACCTTTCAGAGCTCTAAAAAAGTCGTTATAATATTAATTCTATAAATAGATTCTATTATATTATTTATAATAAAAATGTATATTTAAAAATAAAATTTCTTTTATTCAAATATTCAATTAAATCATTATATATTCTTATGAAATATTGAAGAATGAAAATTTATATTATTATTAATATTTTAATGTAAATTTACGTTTATTATATTGATTCTTTAAAATATAATAGATTATAATTTTAATTTTAAGAAGTATACATATAGTAGGAATATCGAATAATTATTGTGAGATTTTATAAAGGACCTGGAACCACTTGTAAATTATAGAGAAATTTGATACGAATATAAACTTTATTTATATTAATAGATAACAAAAACATCTCTTGATAGATAATAATAGCAATGGAGATATTACCGCATTGCTCTGATTTTAACTTTATATGGCCAACACATGGTTCATTTTTATGGGAAAACTCAGACTGTAGATACAACTCCGAAGATCGATGCAGGGAAAAATTCGAGTATTACGATCCTAGATCAAATCATCAAGTTCCCTCGATCAAGAACTGTTTGTCACTTGAGATTTTAATCCCTTACACCTGCGTCAGTGACTTTGTAGTTACACCGAGTCACCGACGTAGATGACATCGAATTAGCACTAAAACATAAAGCGAGAGACATTCTTTGTCAAATGTTTGGTTCGACTTGAGAAATACGAGAATCTCCTGATTCTTTGTTTTCTAAATCCAAGTCGTGGTTCTCTTGTCTCATCCGATGTCCAAACCGCTTATTGAGCTCGCTTCTAACAAACATGAGAATGCGGTCATGATCGACCAACCAGCGACCTTGTCGGTTATTCGGGACCGTCGAAAAAGCAAAAGGTTATTGACCCTTTGAATTGATTCTTCAAAGTTCTATTAGTGCTCGCTGCCACTTTCACTCAATATCACCAGTACCCGTGCGAGCCGTGCAAACCCATGTACCCTTTGTGTGCATAGCTAGATCATGAATTACATGTCATTAAAATGAATTATGATCTTATGATGGATTGATACAACCCGAGATCTATTTTCGGAATACGAATAAATGTTGACGATCGTCATCATTGATCGGCAGTCAAAACTAATGCTTTGGTCCCCCGGAGCGCTGAGCACAAAAAATACTCAGGCTTTCGGCATTTGATAATTTGTACTTGGCATTTGCCAAATTTCGTCAGTATAGCTCCTATCGGATTCTTAACCTTGTTCATGAAGAAGTGGCTATGTGAAAAGATCATAGTAGCGTGGTTTATCATCGAGTGGCCCATATCATCAAATGGCCCACTTTCACCTCAATTTACACTTTCAAACCCATATTATTCAACAATAATTGAATCAATTGATTGAAACTATTAAGAATCTAATAATCTAAAATCTATTACATTATTTTGATAGGTTCTTATATTATATCCTATCTTTTTACATTTACTACAACATCGATTAGAAAATACTTCTCTATTAGAATTCCCTTCTTTTTAATGCTCATCGTGTTGAATCTGAATATCAACCTCTTGCTGAGATAATATATTAAAAGCCTCTTATCTAATGAGCACTCCTCCTTAATATAATTGAGTTTTTTTTATACATCAATATTTGCTTAATACCTCATTTGCTATCCAAAATGTACAATTCTTTATACTTAAAAGTGTATTCTTATAAACTAATCTCTCTATACCCTTAGCTAAAGCTAATACAATTTCGAATATAAATATAAAAAAGCTTGATTGATAACAAATTATTCAAGATTTAATTAATACTGATTAAGAAAAAGCTTCTATTAGGTTACAAGGAGTTTAAGAGATTTATTAATCTAGATCGAAAGAGGAAAAAGTAGATATACGAATTTGAATATCTAATTTCGAGAGTACAGTTTTAAGATTAAATAGAATTAAACTTATTCCTCAGAATTCTGATATTATATTCTGAGAAGTAATTGATTTCTTATATATAGTTTTAAAAGCTATAAAGAATTCAACCTTCGAAATATAATTGATATGTGTTTTGATAAATCTATCAATTTAATTACCATATGAACATTTTAGATTGCTAAAATAGTTAACATCAAATAATTGAATTAAATGATTTGAATGTAATAATAAATATAAACATATAATATCGTTCTCTTTGTAGTATATTTGAAAAGCTATTGATTCGTAGTTTTCATGCTTATCCAGTATTAATATTCAGAATTTGCCCTTTCTTTGATTCTTAATATACTTATCGAAATGTTTCAACTATTTTAAATCTATCTCATTATTCGTTCACCCATTAGATATAGGTTTAATAGTCTATTCTATAGGAAGATTCGTTTCGATATACTAATTGAAGAGATGAACTTGTCCTTAAATTATTAGAAATAGGGGAATAATTTCATCCTCTTCATTTCCATATATTATTATTATAGCCCATTTTCGATTACCTAACTGTACTGTCTTGTTTTTGCCATTTCGTTTAATACTAATTACTATCATTACTATATATATAATCCCCATTATAAAGCCTGTTTCATCAAAATTATAGAAATCTTTATTCAAAATACTATATTTTGCTTATATATTCACAACTAATCGAAACCACTCTTCAAAAAGCTTAGGATTCTTACAAAAAGCTCTTTGAAAATCATAAACATAATTAAAACATATCTTTAATTCGATTCAATACTTTACAAATCAATATATCTAAAGCTTTTTAATACGTTTCGCACCTTTCGATTTAAAAATATTATTCACTATATCTTTCATATTCTTTAATTTAGGTAGAAATCCTTTTAAATCTATATCAAATATATATTAAACAATCATTTCTTCTTTTAATTCTATAATCTTATAATAATTCGCTCGAATTTCTATACAAAAAAGTAAACCTTCCATTCTATATTGAAAAGTTATATAAAGAATATTATAAAATATAATAACTTTTCAAATACTTAATTTTTTATCTTTATGAATAACTTCAATAGTAAGGAGTATATAAGCTTCTTGATTATTCGAATTCATTATAGATTATTAATAAAATGTGTGTTGAAAGAGACAGGTATAAATTGAGGTGAAAGTGAGCTATTCGATGATATAGGCCACTCGATAATAAACCACGTTAATTCATTACTGATCATTTTTGGAGCTATATTTCTGGAAACATACTAACGATCAAACTTTAACAGGGCATGAAAATGCCGTCGGACCGAGATTGAAGGGTAAAGTTTGAACCCCTTCTTCGTCCACTCAGTGCCGGGTAGTTTTATGGGGAAATCAACCCACTTTTAATCAGGGTAGCAACTTAGTTTCTGATTTTAGTCATGGATAGGATATCAACAGCCATGCCAAGTCTTCAATACGAACAATTTATGGAGTCATGTTGAAGTTGTTCAAGCCTCATTGCGGAATCGTGAGGAAAGGAAGAAAGGAGAATTGTTGATGCAATCTTCCGCACCAATCAAACTCAAGGAACTACAAGAAGGTATCCGCACTGTCTCCAGATTTGATGGGATGCGGGCAATTTTAGAGTGTGTTGGCGATTGTGGATGAAGTCATGGCTGAACAATGGATTCTCATGGAATGAAAGGGGAGAATTGCGACGGATCTGAATATATAAATGTCGAAGAAGTTCTCGATAATAAACCATCATCAACGCATCACACCTTCACATCAAACTTCCAAACGTCACTTTACAATTTACAATAACACATACCAACTCAAACAATAATCAACATGTTCTCCAAGACCTTCATCGCTACCCTCCTCGCCAGCTCTGCTGCTGCATCCCCAATTGTCTCAGCACGTGCTGCAGGCGATGCTTTCGGCCTTATCTCCATCAGATCTGGTTCTGATATCCAAAACCAAGCCATCACCGCTTCCGGAGGTCGTCTCTGGATCGGAAAGGAGACTGCCTCATACTGCCCTGATACCGTCGTCACCGACTGCCCTAGTAAGTTTAACTCCGTGATATGATTTACGAATGCCCATGATTAACCAATAAGTAGACGGTACTTCCACAACCTTCGTCGCTGGTGAAAGCAATCTCGGTTTGAACACTGAAGTTCCAGGAGGTCAACAAGTTTACATCGCAACTGATTCTTCTGTATCCTACACCATACCTCACTCCGGCGACATCCACGGTGGAGTTGCCTCTGGATGGAAATACACCGCTGGAGAGAACGGATCCCTTGGATCCTTGTCTTTCCCTGGCTACGGATTCATTGCTTGCCCTGGCGAGGGTGCCGGTGTCTACGGCATCTTCCTTACTCCTGGTGGAGCTGCTACTGGAAACTGCACTGGCATCTCTGTCGCTACTGTCCCATACACCGGTGAAGGACCTTCCGCTTGGGAGTACGCTTAAATCAAGAATGGAGTGGAGGATTGAGGTGGAGAGAGGTGGAGAAGATGGAGAAGATGGAGCACGAAGTTGTGAATATTTTGTTTTCTGATCAGTTCTTTGGCGACATTGCAACCTTATTGTATTTAAATATGTATATATCTGCTGATCATTCCTTACGGCAATGGTATATCAAAACGAATTTTTTTTTTTCAAAAACTTTCATTTGCATCAACATTCGAATTCAAAATTAAATCAAGATTAATGCTAAATTAGAGAAAGTAATTACTCATAAGTATTTGTATTAAGGAGATAGATTTCTTAAAATCAGACTTAGAATAACTATAATGATTTTAACGAACTTTTCGCTTATTTCAGCTTAGAATTTATTTAATAGATATTGAATAAATAATAAATATATTTATTATTCAATTTATCATATTAATTAAAAAGTCCTTTATTATTGATTTTTAATCTGATTTATTCATCTTTCTTAACGTTTAATTAAACAATAAATAAATAGGAAATCTTTTAAATGAAATTTTATATAACGTAATTTATTAGTATACAGATTATATTGATCTATAGATTACTTTCACCTCTATTTAATTTTTCAAACTCATATGATTAAAGAATTATCAAATTAATTAATGAAAATTATAATAATTATAACAATCTAAGATCTATAACATTGTTTTGATAAGTTTTTGTATTATAATTAGTTTTGTTATACTTATTATAGTATTAATTAGAAAATACTTTCTTATTGGAATTCCTTTTTTTATTTGATATTTATCATTAAATTTGAATATCAATCTTTCATTAAAAGAATACATCAAAAGCTTTTTATCTAATAAATCCTTTTTTATATATATTGATATTTGTTTAATGTTTTATTCACTATTTAAAATGTATAAATCTTTATATTCGAAAGTATGTTTTTATAAGTTAATCTTTTTGTATTTTTAGTTAGAGTTAGTATAGTCTTGAATAGAGGTGTAAAAGAGTTTAATTGATAATAAGTTATTTGAGATTTAATTAATATTGATTGAAAAAAGAGCTTTAATTGAATTATAAAGGATTTGAGAGATTTATTAATTTAGGTTAAAAGTGTCACGAGGTGATACTAGCCTTCCTATCCTGTTCTGTTCTGTCCTACTATATATGTAAGAGCAAGATAGAACTTCTAATTCTATCTCCTAGTCTTTATACTTTTGTAGTATAGCGGTAAAGCTTCTAAATGGTCTCAGAAGTGGTCCCGTGACAAAAAGAGGAGAGAGTAGGTATATAAAATTGAATATTTAATTTCGAAAGTATAGTTTAAGATTAAATAGAATTAGATTTATTATTTGAAATTTCGATTTTATATTCTGAGAGGTAATTGATTTTTTATATATAGTTTTAAAAGCTATAAAGAATTCAACCTTCGAAATATAATTAATATGTACTTTAATAAATCTATTAATTTGATTACTATATAAATGTTTCAGATTATTAAAACAATCTATATCAAGTGATTCAGTTAGATGATTTTAATGTAATAGTAAATATAAACATATAATACTATTTTCTTTATAATATACTTGAAAAGCTTTTGATTTATAACTTTCATATCTATATAGTATTAAAAAGTATTTTATTAGCTGGGAACTCTTAAAGCTAAGTCAACTACCCCACTTTCCGACCACCCCCTCTTTTCGACCACCTCAAAAACCACACCGCTTTGAGTAATTATAAAATTTATACTTTGAATAACTCAACAACGCTTTAATCAATTGATTTGAAATTTTGATATTATTATAATTGTGATATGAAGAATAGATATACCGAAGAAGATATCGCAGAGGCTCTTAGAGCGATTACAAATGGAGCAAGCATACGAAGAGCTAGCTTGGATTATGGTGTTCCACGTACCACACTTCACGATCGAATATATGGTGGAGTTTCGCATCAAAAAGGCGCCCAAATACTTCAAAAGTTATCTCCAATTCAGGAGAATCGACTAGCAGAATGGATATTAGTACAGGAAGCTCTTGGTACTAGCCCTACACATCGTCAAATCAGAGAGATGGCAGAGCACCTCCTTATTGTACGAGGGGAGGATCCCTCACTTGGAAAGAAATGGATACATAGCTTTTTTCGAAGGCATCCTAATATTGGAACTAAGAAGCAACATCAAATCGATTCTGCACGAGTTTCAGGTGCTACATCTGATATTATTAAGAAGTGGTTCCGGAACCTCGCAATCCCTGAAATCAAGGCTATTAAGCCGGCCAACAGATGGAATATGGATGAAGCAGGTATAATGGAGGGTCAGGGTCTTAATGGACTAGTAGTAGGAAGCACTGATCGAAGATTTATTCAAAAAAAGCAACCTGGATCTCGAATTTGGACCTCTTTTATAGAATGCATTTCAGCCAATGGAAAAAGCATTACTCCCCTTGTAATATATAAGGGAAAATCAGTTCAACAACAATGGTTTCCAACAGATTTGACTCTATTCAAGGGTTGGAACTTTACCGCTACAGAAAATGGATGGACTACAGATGCTACAGCTTTAGAATGGCTGAAAAAGATCTATATCCCTCAAACTACCCCTATTCAGCCGGAAAATTCAAGACTCCTCATTTTGGACGGACACGGAAGCCATGAAACTACAGCATTTATGTTAGAATGCTTTAATAACAACATATATCTCTTATTTCTCCCACCACATACGTCACACGTACTACAACCACTCGATTTATCTGTGTTCTCACCCCTAAAAAGTGCATATCGAATCGAACTTAATAAATTAAGTCTATTATCCGATTCCTCACCAATTGGAAAGCGCAATTTCCTTTCTTGCTATCAGAAGGCTAGAATAGAAGGTTTAACTATTCAAAATATCAAGTCTGGGTGGCAAGCTAGTGGTCTTTGGCCCAAAAATATGGCTAAACCTCTTATGAGTCGACTTTTGCTTGAAAATAGCAATAGAGAGGTTTTATCACTTAATCCTGAATCTGATGATGATCCTATTCTTCAATGGAATATATATTCATCGTTTATTCAATGGAAAACCCCTCAAAAAGGAGCCGATATCAGAAAATATAGAGATATAATGATTCAAGAGAAGGAGATCGATTTGCCAACACGAAGATTACTATTTCGCAAGATTATAAAAGGATTCGATGCTAAGGATTATGAACTCTTAGAGGCAGAGAATAAGATTAGAAAGCTAGAATATCAATTAGATGAAGCATTACCTAGAAAAAGGCGAAAGGTTGTGGTATCTCCAAATTCGAAGTTCGCAGGGATTAGAGCTATAAGGCGTACACAAATTGAAGCTGGAGATCGTGAAGATGAGGTAGATGATAGCTCTAGTGCTATAGAAAGTGATTCTACAGGCGATTTCATTGAAGTTCAATAGTTATTGAGTTATTAAAGTTTTAAGTGTAGATAATATGAATTTTTTAGGTGGTCGGAAACAGGGGGTGGTCGGAAAGTGGGGTAGTTGACTTAAGATCCAGAGACGAGATACTCATATTATAGTATATACTCCTTTCAATATGACAACAAGAATACTTCCTATGAGTATGAATACAGGTTATGGTAGAATTAAATGAGTTGATATAAGTATTTGATATAATAGTTATAAATGGACATATAATAGGACAAGAATGGGGAGGAAGTCTTTAAATATTTATTCTTTTTTTGAAAGACATTTTGAAAAAGTATTATTTTGAAAGTGATAGATTAAGGTTCAAGTTGATAGAAATAAAAGGATAATAAAATAAATATAGAATAAAGTATAATAAAATATTTAAAGGAATATAAGGGGATTTATATTCTATTATAAAGAACAAAACAAATAATAAATAAGAGATTAGGTAAGTGTTACGCCGGTCCATCCTCGGTACCGCGTCACATGACTCTTAGCACGTGATGGACCCTGCATGACAGGCATAACGGAATGTAGGTCCATACAGACCAAAGGTCCAGGACCTCTCTAGGTCCTGAACGCTCCAGTACAGTACGAAGGTCTATATAAGGGAATGGGATTTCATTACAATGTAGAGCTTCGTGCTCAAGAACAATCATTAGTTTCATTACTATAGTTACGAGAATTGCAACCAGTTACCAACCTTATTGAATTCCTACTTGAAGTTTAGTCTAAACCACCTCGAGAGAACTCTAGACACTTCCACGTGACCCTAGAGGCAGCTCCCGTAACACTTTGAGCACCATTTCTGCTTCAAGTACCAATTCAATACCAACCGACGATATGGCACCCACCAGTGCATCCGCGAGCAGTCAGGCACAAGCACCCGACACCGACGATGTCGAGATGACCGACGCTCCCAAGGAAATTACCATCAACGAAACACTCAAGATTGCCTTACCAGACAAATACCAAGGAAGTCGACAGGAACTCGACACCTTCCTCTTACAACTTGAAATCTACTTCAGATTTAACGAAGACAAGTTCACCGAAAAGGAATCCAAGAGTGTATGGGCTGTATCATATCTCAGAGGAGAAGCAAGCAAGTGGATTCAACCATATTTACGAGACTATTTCGAGCATGACGACCAGGATCGCATGCAACCCACTCGAACAATCTTCAATAGTTTTGAAGGATTTAAGACAGAGATTCGTAGAATCTTCGGGAACTCCAATGAGCTAGAGGTAGCGGAAGATAAGATCTTCAACCTCAAGCAGACAGGATCAGCATTGAAGTATACTACGGAATTTCGAAGATATGCTGGAACAACCAAGTGGGACGAAACCGCCATTATGAGTCACTATCGTAAAGGACTCAAACCAGAAGTCAGACTGGAGTTAGAAAGATCTGCCGAGAGTGTAGACTTGAACGACCTAATCCAGGACTCCATCGAATCAGATGATCGTCTTTACCGATATCGACAAAGTCAAAGATCATACAAACCCCAGGGAAATCAAAAGCAAGAGCGTTACCGCAAGAATGAGGGAAGACCACGTTACAATCCACAGAGATATGGAGACCCTATGGAACTCGACGCTACGC